ACGGCTCCACTGTAGACAGTTTTGTCCGCGCTTTTGCCTTACAGTGGTCCTGTACATTGCTCCCTGTACCAAATTTTAACCATTAAAACTACATCGATGCTGTTATTCGAATAACAGAAGTTCCTGGAAAATAATTAGCAGGACGATCTGTAGTTTTCCTGTCATAATTTTTTGCAGTGCAGAGAAAATAACGTTTATTTTGTTTCGTTACTGGTCCTTGGTGTCGAGAGATCACAGGTCAGCATGGGATGCGGTTCTGGCCTCTTCAGGTTAGGGCTGTGCGATATTTAAATTTCTGTATCGAACTTCGATATTTAAGAAATATCGAAACTTGTCGGTATCGGTTATCGATATCGTATCAAAATATCGAAAATATCGAAATATCTAAATACCGAAATATCGAAGTACCGAAATACCGACAACCAAAAAGTACACTGTTAAAAAAATCGATTGTAATTTTACGAATTTTGTTGGCAACTTTTTACGCAATTCAATGTTTGTAAAATTACAAACTAAAACAATTATAAAAAAAATTGCAAACGTGTTTTGAAATTTCATAATCTGCGATCTAAAAATTAAAAACGTTAATGTGAATTTTCAAAACATCAAGGTTTTTAAAATTATAGTAATTCGCCATGATTATGGAGTAGGTGAACCACAAACGATCTGGGGATCAGCTGATTGGGCTGAAGGAGTGCTAGTTATCCCTGAGGGTACAGTCACGGAAAAATGCGGGAGCGCGTCACAGTCACCCCCCACTGATCGGTTACGAACGGCGCTGTACCTAACTAAGGAGAGGTAGCGGGGACCGGCGCGCGCTGGAATTAGACCAATTATTTGGGGCACTTGCGTGACTTTTTGCTCAAAAACAAATGCTTAGCCAGCTACAGCATTGTGTTACAGATAATACCTCGCAAAAATACATGTCAGTATCTTGTGCAAATTTTAGTTAAATATAAATAATTGCTCTTGGATGAGACGCGCTGACCACAACGCCATCTGGCGGCAGTTCTTTGAAGTACAGTTGCTGTTTCGTCGTATGAAGGTCCAAAGTCACAACGGGCTTATAGGTGATGAGGTTCGTTGTACTGTAGTAAACCTGATGGAGGACTTGTGCTGGTCCTGTTTCATTTGGTTTTACTTCGCAAAATTACAAACTGCAATCGGAAAATTACAATCCAATCTCACATTTTCGATAGAGTGATCACAATTTTACAATCGCAAATTGTAAAATTACAAATGTTTCCCAATTTTCAAAAGACAGATTTGAATTTTCAGAAAACCGTTATGAATTTTAACAACTAATTGCAAAATTGCCAATGTTATGAGATTTCCCAACCACGTTTGCAATTTTACAACTGATTTTGATGTGAAATTTCACAACTTTTTTAACAGTGTAGTAGAAGTACAATTTGAGCACTTCGGAAAAAGCGCGCGATACCATGGCATGCCAGCAATGCCACCAGCTCCATCAAGCGTCGGAGACAAAAGCTCAGCGTCGACGTCCGTCCTAGTTTTTAGCCTGAGAAAAACAAATTCTTCAAAATACCGAAATTCCCAAACATTCGGTTTTTTCAATATTTCGATATTATTATCGAAATATCGTTTCCAAATTGCAGAAATGAAAAATATCGAAGCCTCGACACTAAAAAACTATCGATATCGTTTCGATAGTATCATGACGATTTAACGGTGATACTGTACCGCGTTAATCGTTAAGTACCGGTAACGCGTTACATCCCCGCGAGCAGTAACGTAACGCGTTACCGTTGCCGACGTTTGTAACGATGTAACGTCCGTTACATATTTCTCGTTACAATTTTCAACGTCAACTTAATTTGAAAGTCTTCAAATATTATACTGTTACTGCCTTCTTTCGAAGGTAATGTAGCCATTTAAGATTATACAGTACTGAATCCCTGACTTTGAACACTTGCCAAATAAACGACATCTGAGTATTATATTTACTATTGAAATTTTTGTGCTGTTTTTAAATTGTTTACCTGACATTTTTTGGACGAGTATCTAAAAAAGTATCTAAGATACTTTGTGAAGTATCTTTCTCTTTAGATACTTTTACGATTGAGTATCTTTATCTTATCTTAACATACAAATTCGGCCAGTACCTAGTGTCTTTATCTACATACATTTAGGGAGTATCTTGCACAACACTGTGTGTAGTTTGACGCCAAATGTGTGGTATAAGTACTACTCCTTTTACAATTTTTTTAATATGAAGCGTTCTCTACGATTTAATTGACCATTTCATCATTTTCACTTTATTTTCGTCAAGAAATGATCTCTAGCACCTAAACGTGACATGATAGAGCAAATCGGATGAACTTTTCGTTCAAAGAACTCTTATTTTGCGAGTTACATCTTACA